CCCCCCCCAACATTTCAATGCAAGAGAGAATAAAGGGCAAATATAATTCCCAGAAAAGGATAGAAAGGTCCTTAAGTATATGCTAAGGTGCTTCGACCTTATTCATAATAGGAGGAATGCAATTTTAAGATGTATTCAATCTGAAGAGAAAAAGAAGCATAGGAGGAATGCAATTTAAAGCTACAGTGTACACGATACATACACTGAGAACTACAAAACACTGCTGAGAGAAAGTAAAGACCAAAGTACACAGAGATACCATGTCTGTGGATCAGAAGACTCCCTATTAAGATGTCAATTTTCCCCAAATTGATCTACAGATAAAATGCAATCGCAATCAAAGTCCCAGGAAGATTTTTGGTTGAAATTAACAAGCTCTTTTTTTTTTTTTTAATTTTAGAGAGAGGAAAAAAGGGAGAGAGAGAGAAACACTGATGGGTTGCCTCCATCCTGATGGAGGATCAAACCCAAAGCCAGTTATGTGCCCTGACCTGGAATCGAACCTGCAACCTTTTGGTGTATGGGATGTTGATCCAACCAACTGAGCCACACCAGCCAGGGCTCAAGTTCATTCTAAAACATACCTCTGTGGAAATAACTTCAAATAATAAAGTTGAAGGACCCACCACCTAATTTAAAGATTTACAAACCTATAGTAATCAAGAATGTTTTACTGGCATAACAACAGACAAAAAGATCAATGGAACAAAATATAGCCAAGGCAATTCAGTGGTTTCTCCACCTCAATAAACTTATCAACAAATGCAATTGGATAATCATGCAAAACAACAACCCTTAATCTTTATCTCACACCATATTAAAAATAAACTCAAACCAAAATAGATCATAGACATAACTGTAAAAGCTAAAACAATGTAACTTCTAGAACACAGGCGAAATCTTAATGACTAGATTTGGCAAAGATTTCTTAAATGTCAAAAAAGCGCAAATGTCAATAAATTGGATTTCATTAAAATCAAAAACTTTTGCTCTTCAAAACAAAATGAAAAACAAACCACATCCTGAGGAAAAACAAACCTGAAAAGGACTTGTAACTAGAACATAGAAAAAATTCCTGCAATTTTTTTAATGGGGAAAAGATCTGAATAGATCATACACCAAAGAAGATGTATGGACAGTAAACACATGAAAATATGCTCAATATCATTATGCATTAGGGATATGCAAATTAAAACCATAATGAGGTGCCATTACAACCCATTTACAAAGGTTAAGAGACAAATCATAAGACTAATCATACCAAGTGTTGAGGATATAGAGCAACTGAAACTCTCAAACGCTGCTGCTGAGAATGGAAAATGCTGGCAGAAAAAAGTTTGGCAGTTTCTTTTAAAAAATCATTTTACCTGTCATTCTACTCCTAGATATTTACCCAAGAGAAATTAAAGACTATGTTCATAAAAAGTCTTGAACATAGCAGTTAGGTAATAGCCCTAAATTGGAAACAACCCAAATGGTCATCAACAGGTGAATGGTTAAACAAATTGTGATATATTCATACAATGGAATACTACTCAGCAATAAAAAGGAGAGAACTACTGATACAACATGGATGAATGAGAGAAGCCGTACACACAAAATAAGAGTATAATAGTTTGATTCCATTTATATAAAAGTCATGTGCAAACTAATCTATAGTGACAGAAGCAGATCAGTGGTTCCCTGGAGACTGCAAAACAATTAGACCAAGAAAACAAAACAATTGAGGGGAAAACACACACACCTCAACACTTACCAGTAGCATAGATGGCTTTGTAAAGCAAATAAATACTCATTGAAACTCTCAATGGGCTTCTCCTGCAGCACGTAGTCAATGCGTTGGCCTCCATTCAGCATTCCCACATTGATGGGGGGGACTTCTTCTTTAACTGCCTCAGAGGTCTCTTCTGTGTTAACATCTATATATGGAAGAATCATAATAAGAATCTAAAAGCTTCCAGTCCTCCAAGGTTGTCCTTACTTCCCCTCAGACTCCAAGTTACTGAAAGGGATGAGCTACTCTGTTAAAAAAGCTCTCTCCCATCTTCCTGCTCTCATTCCTTTACAGGTTCTTAAGTCACACTGATTCTAATTCCTTTTTTTTTCTTTCTTTCCTGCACCTCTGATAGCTAATTCATTTGCCTCTGGTTTATCAACTAAATGCAAACAGGGATAAAACTCTAATTTAGACAGCTGAAAACTAAATCAAAAGAATGCAATGTTAGCTGAAATTAAGAGAAGAGTATCCTAGCTCGTTCTCAGCCAGGAAAATAAACTGATCCATGAATACACAGACATTCCCCTGTAAAAGCAACCTGTTTCAGAGAGTAGGCTCTTACATCACTCCCATAGTTCCCAAGTTGGGGATGTTTTAAAGCCTCATTAGATGCTTGGCTTCTCTTCACATTCTTCCTCACAAAAAATGTTCTTCCATAATTTGACTATTAGATGATTAGAAAAGGCTAGCAGAGAAGACAGCATAATAGGTCTCATAGCATTGGTCCTATACAACAAAAAGGGCCAAGTAAGAAGTCCCTCTGAGAACAAGAACTATACACAACGAATTCCCTTGTCTCAGGCCTGATGTAGGAAATCAATGTGTACAGTGTCACTGACCATTAGGCTTCTCTGAGCTTGATACAGGTTCTGCTTCAGTTTCTTCTGCAGTTTCAGAAGCTTGTAAGGCAGGGTATGGAGCTCTGGTGAAAGACTTCCAGGCCATCCGCAGTGAACCTAGCAAGTTGTTCTTAAGGTCCATACTCATCCTGGTCAAGCCCTCCCTCAGTTCTGAAATACATATGAATAAAGAACATTACACAGTTTACAATGAGTTTAGGGTCCAACACAGCTAAACAAAGTGAATGAGGTCCATCCAGTCACACTGGAATGATCAAGTTCTGTACTCAGTCTTACCTAAGTGCATCCGCTTCCTGCCTTTATGATGTGGAATCAGCATTGGCTCAAATTCCACTCCGGGGACCACCATTGGTTCAATCCTATAGGCCACAGGATCAAACTACATAGGAAAAACAATAGCTACATACACCTCTGCTGAAGAAAAATAGTCTGAGGAACTGCTAATGTGTATCAGGCAAGAATGATTATAAGCTAATTTTTTTTAAATGTAGTTGTTCTGTCACACCACTTCCAAAATAATACTATTTGTAAGTTATCTCATTACTAGAGAATAATACATAAAAAGTAAATCAACACAACAGAAAATCGTATGCTCTTTACCAATAAGCCCTAATATTCAGGTAAACCACAAGAGCTGTCCAATGCTTACAGGGTGATAAATATTGAAGAAACCTTTGCATGTTGGAAATCTGTAGTTGGGATCAATTCTTTTTAGTCCTCGGACGGTAAGGAACATTCCAATGGGAGATCCAAAGGCAAAGAATATTTCTGGTTTATAGATGAGTCGGGGGTATTTTACAGATACCTGGAAGGAGAAAATAAAAGCATCTCTCAATAACAAAAGTTACATCTGTTACCATATGAATTGCAGGCAATAAAATGAACAATGAGAAGTAGTATCGTTACCTGCCCAATGCCAACATCCATATAGTCATGTCCAGTACCATCAGCACTTATACAGAACTCCGATTCTTTGGGGATATTAGACATATTCACCCCTGAAGCTGATTGCAGAGTTGGTCTATTAATACCCTAAAGAATAAAAAATAGTTTGTGGAGCTGCTATGTAATAAAGATATCCAAAGGATTATAGAGTTTTCTACTGGTTTGAAAAAATGCATGGGAAAGTTCTGAAATGACAGCCAATAATTCCAGGAAAAGTCTCTCAGAAAACAAGATAAAGCTGATGAAAACAAAATAAAAGTGATAAAAACAAAAGTTTGCTTAAATTATGAACTGACATCCCTACACGCTCTAAAATGATGAAAGCTGTACACAGCCATCTGGGCAGCAGTAGAAACTTTAGGCAACCACATGAGAGGAAACAATAGCAGAGAACTGTGGAAAAGAACGTTAAAGACTGCTAAGGAGTTCAGTGAAGTACTGTGCCTTTCTAATTAAAGTGTAAGTAGAATATCTCTGTGGGAATAGAAAATGATGCAAATACTGGGCCTTAAATAAGAACTGAGCAACCTGCTAAGAGTTAAAAAATAGTTAACCTGGCTGAGGTAGATCAGTTGTTAGAGTGTCGGTCCACATACTAAAGGGTCTCAAGTTCCACTCCTGGTCAAGGGCATGTACCTGGGTTGCAGGTGCAATCCCGGACCCCGACCAGGGCGAGTGTGAGAGGCAACCAATCAATGTGTCTCTCTCACATCGATGTTTCTCTTTCTCTCCTATTCCTCTCTCCCCCCCCTCCCTTCCAGTCTCTCTAAAAAACAATGGAAAAAATACCCTTTGGTGAGGATTAACACACACAAAAAAATAATAATAATAATTAACTACTAAAATATGGAAAGGAATTCAGTGGCCAAACAAACTGAATGTAACAGTAGTGTTACAACATGGATAAACCTTGAGTACATTATGCTAAGCAAAAGAAGCCAGTTATAATAGGGCACATATTGTATGATTCCACTTATATGAAATGCCAGAATAAGAAATCCATAAAGACAGAAAATAGATCAGTGATTCATAGGAGGGAGGAATGGGGAGTGACTGCTAAAGGGTATGAGGTTCTTGGGGGGTAATGGAATTAGACAGTGGTAATGGTTACACAACTCTGAATATATTAAAAACCACTGAATTGTATACTTTTTACTTATTTTTTTATTTATTAGAAGAAGGCAGAGAGAAGCGTCGATTTGTTGTTCCACTTATTTATGCATGCATTCATTGGTTGATTCTTGTGCATGCTCTGACTGGGGATTGAACCAAAAACCTTGGCATATCGGGATGATGCTCTAACCATCTAACCTACCCAGCCAGGGCTGAACTGTATACTCTTAAAGGGAGAATTTTATGGTATGTGATAGAAACTATATTTCAATAAAGCGGTTATAAGACAAAAAAAGAAAAATGGAATTGTAGCAAGAGTCGGGGAGATAAGACTTCTGAAGTTAATAATATCTTTAAGGTATTAATAAATGTGTTTCATTTCTAAAAACAGAGCCAAAAATCAATTAACAAAATTACTTAGCTCCCTAAACACTTCACAAAGCAAAAGGATACAACGATGTCAAAAACTGTTTACCACCCTGGCTAGTTTTGCTCAGTGATTAGAGCATCGGCTCACGAACTGAAGGGTCCCGGGTTCGATGCCAGCCAAGGGCACATACCTCAGTCGCAGGCTCGATCCCCACCCAGTCGAGGCAGGTGGAAGGCAACCAATCGATGTGTCTCTCTCACATCAATGTTTCTCTCTCTCTGAAAAGCAATGGAAAAAAATCCTTGGGTGAGAATTAAAAGAAAAAATTGTTTACTGCGATAAGCTACATTAAGTCCATACCATTGAATTTTCTCTGGTCCTAAAGTAATTTAATATCTTCTTTCTTGGTCCTAAGGGAATTCCCATTTCCTGAAGATCTTTGTCTGTACATAAAGCCTAGGAATAGAAAATCAAATATCTTTCTTATTTCTAGGCAAAATAAAATCAATTAAATGTCCTGTTCTTTGAGAAGAGTGAGACCTAAGTACTGTGCTTTTCTTTGCTTTATATTACTAGGGCTCCCTAGTGGTACATCATTAATAACTCAGAAAAGGAAATAGTATTTCATTCATAAAAGAGCCTAAAAAAGAATAAGAAGTATCAATATCAATACTATAGTATCAATGCTATAGTAATACAGAAAACATTATATTATTGAAAAAATAAACAGAAGTAGGATCTAACTCATGACAGAAAAACCCTCCGTGATGTCCGTGCTCACTTGGATGTCACATTACTGAGAGTTTATATTCCTACTCATGGACACAAGCCGTAAGAACATAGAACAAACAGAGCACGAAACAGACTAACAATCAAGATCTCAGCTGAAGTGCTACTCACCTGACTAGGGTAGTCTTCCTTCACCCTCTCAAACTATGTTAGTTCATCCTACTACACATTCTTATAACAGTGTGTACTTTTCCTACTTACAACTTACCACAAGTGTAATTTAATTATGTTTTTGATAACTTAATATGTGTCTTTCGCACTAAACTATAAACTCCATGAGGTTAGGGACCATATCTGTCTTGTCACCACCCTCCCTATCTTCAGTACTTGGTATAGTGTGCCTGATCACAGTGAGCATTTACTAAATACCTGCTGAATGCATGTATCGCAAACCAGAGTAAAAACGCAACATAAGCAGCAAAAAACCAAAAACAAACAGGCAAATATCAACAGTAGAGCTCTTATAACAGAAAATAAGAGTTGGAATAGTTTCTGGTCATTTATTCTTGCTCTCATGTTTTCTGTTTTAATCTTTGCCCTATTGCTATACGTATATCAACATGACTCCTCTGAACTTTAAACTCCAACAAAGCAAAGATCATTTGATATGACTTTAAAACACATAAGTAATGCTGAAGAACATTACTAATGATAACAAAGTATTTATGACTAAAGTGCTTCGAAAGGGCAGGATCTTACTAAGCAGTATGAAGAAGAAACAAAAATACTGAAAATGGTACGGCATAAAGTTTTAAAAGACTATTTTACCAGAGCTTCCTTATCTACTTTCTCCTTCTCAAAGATACTAAAGAATTCAGTGAGTTGAAGTTTCTTCAGATCTTCCTCTAGTGTCCGTGTGTCTCCTTGATCCATGTTTTGCAAATCCTAAAAGTTAAATTGTAAAGTTCCTTATTCTGTACAGTTGCTGAGATGTTCCTTTATTAATACTGTTTTACAATAAAGACATGTACTACATAAGACTTCCACAGAGATGGATCTTTACTTTAAACTGTGATTTGTACAAAACAAATTAAGAGGTGATCTTTAAGTGTCTGCAACTTCATTTAAAACTGCAGGAGTTTTAAAATAAATAAACGAGTGAATATTTATCAAAGCATTGTTCACTATCATTAGCAAAACATTTTCTGAGCTCTTATTAGGGATACAGTGTCTAAGATGTAAAACAATTTAAGGCAAAGCCCCTGCCCTGGAAGAACTCACAGGATATTTGCATTTAAAAGAGAAAACATACATGACAGTGTATGCCAAGTACTAACTCAGCAGTACAGATGAGTGTTCATAGGACTTTGTTTTACTAAAAGATGTTTAAACATTAAGTCCTCCCACTGCTTTCAAACAATTACTATAAATTATATCAATTTGCATCTAATTCACTCTTCATTTTATCATATGCAAATTCCATATCAAATCAACAATTTTATAATTCTAATAATAGATCAGTAGTGCATATTTATAATGGGAAATAAGATACATATAGTTATTTTAGGATGTGGTAAATATTTGTAGAAGCATATTACTGTCTTGCTTCTATCATCCAAGAATGACAGAGATAATTACAAGTCTGTTAAAATAAATGTAAATTTAAAGTTATGGTATGAGACTAAACTAAATGAAAAACAAAAAATAAGTCTAAAATCTAAAAATCCTTACTAAGAAAAGAGAACCTATCTGAACATCTAAATTACCTTTTTACTGTCAATATCCCCCAAAGAATCTTTCTGATTTGTTAGGATATCAAACAATATAAGCGAACCTATAAATAAAATAGAAGAAAGAAGGGACAATTTCTAAATAGCTGTCTTTTATACAAAAAAATAATAAGCCAATTACCCATGTAGCAAAATCTATGAAGGAGGAGTCTTCTTTCCACTCCACCACCACCCTTCCAACCCTTTCCAAATTCTTCATCACAAACAAGTTCTAGACCTCTGAATCTGATACTGATAAAAGACATTGTTTTTCAAAAACAGATGTCCTAAAAATGTGATTGTCCTCTCTGGTTACAGGGAATTCATTTGTTACCTAAACTATGACCAGCAATGGATACACCCCCTTTGAAATCAGGATTCCTCTGCAGAAAAAGTTTATATATTCGGTTCATTTCAGAAGCAACTGTGTCCACAATAGTTTGACAGTAGGTGGGGCTATTGTAGAAGAAGACATCCAGAATTGTGTCATTGGTAAAGTGCCTGAGGCGGTTAATGCTGGGCAGGGTTATTCGCTGTAGATCTCTGGAAAAAAGGAAAGATATTTTTAGCAGAAAACCAAACTTCCTATAACTTCTAGGAAGTTCTATAACTTCCTCTAAGTTATCTAGCTTAGCCTCCAAACTTAGACTTAGATATTTAAAGATGCAAGAGACAACTATCAATTTACAGAAAATATACAGGACAGAGAGAAATGCTTAATGAATCCAAAGGGATAACAAAATTCAGAGTGTGAGCTCTACAAGACAAACAACTGTTTCTTCAATACATAAACTGCAAGAAAATAACAGACAGAAAAGTAATCAAGAGATTAGGAGACTTAAAAGGCATACTTGAATTCCAGTTTAAACTATGTATATATGTGTGCATTTGTATTTGCATATATGTGTGTGTGTGTATATATATAAATATATATGTGTATAAATGAGATTAGAAAATTGGAAAACAACACTGTATTTGCTGGTACTAAGAATCTTTTCAGGTGTGATAATGGTATTACAGTTATATTTTATTAAAAGTACTTTCTTTTAAAAAAGTATTTATTTATTTTTAATATATCTTTATCGATTTCAGAGAGAGGAAGGGAGAGGGAGAGATAGAAACATCAATGATGAGAGAGGTCACTGATCTGCTGCCTCCCGCACACTCCCTGCTGGGGATCAAACCCAGGCACATGCCCTGACCAGAATTGAACAGCGATCTCCTGGATCATAGGTCGATGCTCAACTGCTGAGCCACGCTGGCCGGGCAGGAGAGTCCATAGCTGAATATCCTTAATATAAAGAAACCTTCCCTGACGTTACCATAAAATTTACAAACAAAACTATTGGGCTTGGAACTTAAGAAAGCCATCATGTAAAACTAGTGGTACTGCCCAGGCGGTATGGAGCAGTGGTTGAGATCGACCTATGATCCAAGAGACCACGATTCGATACCCTGTTAGGGCATATGCCTGGGTTGAGGGCTCAATCCCCTGTAGAGGGTACACAGGAGGCAGCTGATCAATGACTCTATCATCACTGATGTTTCTCTCTCTCCCACTCCTTTCCTCTCTTTGAGATCAATAAAGACATTAAAAAATAAAAAAAATAAAAAATAGTTGTACCAATTATACCTCAATTATAAATGCTAATAACTCAATGTTTGGGAATTTCCTTTTTTCCCAAATTTGGACAAATATTATCTAAATATGATCATAATAACAGAAACAACAAAATACTATATACATCTTGAGGGAGGATGGTTTTTGACATCTGAAGACAGAAATGCTTATACTCTATAGGAAGAAAGCAATGTTTGGCTTTAATGCTAAAGAAATAAAAAAAGCTGTAATAGTAAATACTAATGAGCCAGTGAAACATACTAGAAGAAAATGCACTCAGCTCTTTATTCCTAACTTGGACTAGTTAAACTAAGGGGTTAGTTAGCATTTAATAATATATCTCTTAAAAAAAAAAAAAAAAAAGACATAGGAGTACAAAAAACTTTTTGTTAAAACAAAATTTTAAATATACAGTCACTTACAGCACAAATGTACCTAAGCATATCAATGATCGGAGAACATATTACAATCATGGTTGGTATTACTCACACATCCACACCAGTAGAATGCAAGGGACTGTGCCAGTTGACTGGAAGAAATTCTACCCTCCCAATCTGCTGATTTTCTTGGGCTTTCTTAAAATGTGTTTGCAGCAGGTTCAAGGAAACACTGCGAAAATCATTAACTGGAAGAGAAAATTAACTTACGCATCAACGCTGAAGCAATGAATTTGCAGAATTAAGATGCAACAGATCACATAATTATACTCTCTATCTACATTTGCTTAGAACATGCATTTACTTGAGTCAAAAACAGCAAAGTGGTATTCAGAAAAATTATGAATGCATATTAAGAAAAGCTGTTTCTTTAATACTTGCTTTTACCACACAATACATTTCCTCAAAGAAAAAGCTGACTTCAAAATTTCTAATGTGTCATGGGCATTGTTTCAATTTTAAAAAGGAAAGAAAAATATCACATGACTTGCAGTCAGATTCTTATTCTAACTTTCTGGTTCTTACAAACAACCACTACCCAATATTTCAGATTTTTGAAAAATACACAGCTGTTTGAAATTCATATTATGTCAATCTTAACCTTCTAAGGTTTATGCTTAGAAGCATTAGCTAGTAGGATAAGACTCTCAAATTGGGACAATTAGACTTTGAATACCCTCAAGTTTTAGAGGATACTACCTTTCAAAATCAAGTTATGCTAATGACCAAAATATTCCACTTAGAATATCAAGAGGGTTATCACAGTATGAATTACAAAAATGACTGAAGCTTCCATTATTCATTTAAACTGTATCATACTTACAGTCCCTTAAATTTGGAATGGTTAGTCATAGGACCATCACATCATAAAAGGATTTTATAAAGATTAAGTGCTTGTTCACTCAAGAATTATTAGTTAAGAATATAAACTATTAGCCTAAGGAATTTACTAGTACTTTAGGTCTAAGCTGGGAAGCTTTACTACCTTGTGACCTGTCTTTAGCTCTCCAAATCTTATTATGCAGCTGAGACAACAGACTAAAGACAACACTTTATTTTAACTCACAGGAGCAATGACTAATACTCCCCTTAAGTGACCTAACCTTAAATGCTTTGCAAACCTACCACACTGTACAATGCTTCGAAAGCGGAGGTCACAAGCTGGTCCAATTCCATGGACTACAAAAACCAAGTGGTCTATTTGTAAAGGTTCCCCTATAAACAAAATTAAAAAGAAAAATTATTCTATATAACTAGTCACATATTCTAAAATCAAACATTCACAATGAATAGGTTATAAAAACAGGCAAGATAAAATATAAGCAGATAATTTAAAGGACAAAAATAATCCTATACATAACTACTAAACATACAGTGATTTTACTTTTTCTTTTTTATCTTTATTGTGAAAGTATTACAGATGTCCCCCTTTTTCCCCCATTGACCCCTTCTAGCCCGCAACCATCCCCCAGCCCAGGCCTTCACCACACTATTATTGTCTGTGTCCATGGGTTATGCATATATGCACATAAATTCTTTGGTTAATTTCTCCCCACCCACTCTACATTGTTTCTAATTTATCTTAAAGTAAATCTGTGAAAAAATTTTCAGGTTTTTAACACTTTTTTCCTTTGAAATAACTGCAATCTTACAGAAAACTTGAAGAGTACTACAGAAACTCACATGTACTTTGTACACAGACTCAACACTTTAACATTTACCACATTTGCTTTATTATTCTGTGTGTATTTGTGTGTGTGTATACACTTATTGGCTGAACCAGCTGGAAGCAGGCTGCATACATCAGATTGCACATATCACACCTGTCTCTGTAACCCTTTAATATTTTAATGTGTATATCCTAAGATTATTCTCTTATATAACCACAGTGCAGTTATTGAATTCAGGCAATTTTTAACATTAACAAAATAATTTTATCTAATATTCCATTTTTATCAATTGTACCAATAATGTCTGGCACGTATTTGAAGCCTGAAACTTTAAACCCATCTTTTTAATTATAGTAAGTCTAAGACTTTGTCCAAGAGACAAGCTATCTCCTCTGCAAGATAAAAGGAATTTTATAATCCAGTTAAATACATTATAAAACCAACCATAAATGACCCTAGATAGCAATGAGTAACCACCAAGGTCATCCTAAAAAATAGTTTTCCTTAGTTGAAAATCTTCAACAACAGGAGTTACTAATACTAAACTTCTAATCAAATAGGTGGAGTCGCTTTTCATAGAATTAGGACTAAATCAGTGCATCTGTACTTAAGGAATCCCTAATCAGTACTGCCAAATTTTACCCATCCTACCAGATGTACTTAACAACTTTAAAAGAGATTTATGTATTTATTAAGATTCTTAGTAGATGAAGTGATACTAATATTAATTCCAAATAAGCTTGTGCAATTAAAGATTATTTTTAAACCTTGAGGTAATCCAAATCCATAGAAAAAAGGTCACAATTTAAGCCATAAGTAAATAAGTATATCAGAAGATTAAAAAAAAATTAACAATTGACATTACCACAATGAATGTCGACAGAGATGTTCTCCGCCCCTCTCTTCACTGTTCTTGGTCGACCCTGCTCTGTGGGTGCTGAACCCCATTCATCAGACCCTGCAACTGGCTGGTAATGCACCATAAGCTTAAATAGAAAAAAATGTCAAAAACTTTAATCCTATAAGCTATTTTAAGCACATACCACTGAATTTTTCTGGTTCTAAAGTAGTTTAATAAATAAAATTAAATGAAACATTCACAATGACTAGATATAAAGATTCTGTACATTCAAGACATTTATACATCCTAAGGGGCAGGAACATCTTTCAAAACATAATACATAGTCAAATTTCAACTGGACTTTTGATATGCAACTCCTACAGCTATGGAAATGAGAACCCTGAAAATTTTTTAGCTAATGCTATACAATTTAAATATCTTATGCCCTGCCAGGTGGCTCAATTGATTGAGTGTCATCCTGTACACCAAAAGGTTGTGGGTTCCATACCCAGTCAGGACACATACCTAGGTTGTGGGTTCGATCCCCAGTCAGGGTGTGTACAGGAGGTATGGATGGATGCTCCTCTCCCACCTCCATGATTCTCTCTCTCTCAAATCAATAAAAATATCCTCAGGCGAGGATTAAAAAAAATAAATATCTTATAATTTTGTCAACTTTACCTCAATAAAGCTAAAAAAAGAAAAACACACATCAAGCTAAAAGACTTTTTTTTTTTTTTAAATACCTTTGTTGATTTCAAAGAGAGGAAGGGAGAGGGAGAGAGAGAGAGAGAAACATCAATGATGAGAGAGTTGTCTTTGATCAGCTGCCTCCTACACAACCCCCTACTGGTGACTGAGCCCCAAACCCAGGCATATGCCCTGACCAGGAATAGAACCTCGATCTCCTGGATCCTAGGTAGATGCTCAACTTCTGAGCCACGCTGGGCCAGGCAGGCTAAAAGACTTTCCTACACACGGAAAACATGCTACATAATGTATCAGTAATAATCTACAGAGGCATAATTTTCCCTAAGAAAATTATATTGTATAAACTGAACAAGGTAAATAATGGTGGTGGCTTCAAGTTTTAAGTTTCATAATTGTTACTGTAATATAAAATTCCCGAAGGTTAAGTAGAATCCTTAAGAAAAAGAAACCAATGAAGTTCTCCTTAGTAATACAATTAACATTTAATCCCAACATTAGAGAAAGGCTTTTAATTTGCTTTACCTTTGGATTGTGTAATACAATAATTTCTCTGTTGGGAGACTCCAGTTTCTTTTTCCATTCATCCTGAGTTACAGCAAGCATGTAAGTTTCCTTAAAAGAAAACATTTCATTAGATTTCTCTTATTGCTTTCCTATTAAAACTAAACGTTTTCAAGAGGATACTGCTAAATAAACAATTACAATAATATCCTATTCCAATTAATTGAATTTATTTTAAAATTACAACAAATAGTATGGGACAAAGAAAAAAAATCACTCCTACTTCTATCATCTAGACTGGAGATAAGTATTTTTCACATCATGATATATTTCTTTCAATAATATTAATGCATGTATATTTTCCATAAAATTATATAGTTTTTTCTTTTGATTTATCAAATTTATTTTTAAATTCTTTTAAAATACAACATTAATAGTATAGGACAAAGAAAAAATATCAACCCTAATTTCATCATCTAGACTAAAGATAATCATTGTTCACATTTTTATACATTTATTTCAATAATATTAATGTTCTACTCCAATTTAAGCAAATTTCAGGCTGTTTTCAGAGCAGGAAAAATAAAAGACAAAAAGACAATCCTGTGGTCATAGTTTAAATATTGACAATAATCACCATTAGGGAAAATACTTTTTCGTTTAAAAGCATAACAATTTCCATAGTATATTTTAAAATCTGGAACTAAAACTATTTTATCCTGAAACTAACTTGCAAAAAGAAAGGCTACAAACTGTGTGCAGTTAGAACCAAACTCTTCCTGAAAATATCAAAAAAATATAAGTCACAGAGGAAGAAAATATTATTAAATAAGGAAAAATATTAAGAAAATGAGTTTAAAAGGGTCAAAGGAATACCTCTAATACTTTGCTGAAGCTCTCCGAGTAGGGAATATACTTATTATCTTTGTCTCCCTTGTAAAACCAGGTACATCGTCTCACTTCTGATGCTTGCTCATCCCAGTATACAGCATACCGCATCCTCTCCCCCAAATGAACATCATACCGGCCCCCATCAGTGGGGACAACTTTCTCATCACAATCTTTTCCTATCAAGAATTGAGAAGAGGAAAAGAAGTACATATATCAAAATAAATCTCCCAAAATACAGTTCTGAGTTATACTCTAAATAATGTTATAAAACACATGAATTAACATTTTCTACTTGGATAAACATTAAACAAAATGGAATTCAATTGCTTTTTTTTTTCTTTCCAGTAATTTTTTACAAACCATCAAAACCATTCTTGGTTTTTGTTTGTTTTGTTTTTCAATCCTCACCCGAGGATATATTTTTTTCCATTGCTTATCAGAGAGAGTGGAAGGGAGAGAGAAAGAGAGAAACAATGTCAGAGAGACACATCAGTTGGTTGCCTCCCACATGCACCCTGACCCACCCGGGTGAGGATGGAGCCTGCAACAAAGGTATGTGCCCTTGGCTGGAATCGAACCCAGGATGCTTCAGTCCCAGGGAAGATGCTCTAACCAGGGAGCCAAACCGGCTAGGGCTCTTGGTCATCATTTTTCTCCTACCAGAGCCATATGCCTCTTCCAGCTGCTGTGAGTCCTCAGAGTTGAAAGGAATCCATGTCTCTTTAGAATCTATTATCTTACAATAAAACCAATGAGGAGAAACTGGTTCATACAAACTGCCAGCATCCATGTCTATTAGCTCAAAGGAACTACAAGAGTTTGGTGATGGGGATGGATCTGATGAGTCAACTGTTCCTGGCGTGATTCCACTGTTGACATGTCTCTCTCTAAAACACAAGATAAAAGAAAACTATCAGAAAAATTATTTTCCTTCTATTAACAGTGTAATTGTTCACAGACACAACTGGTCATTTTAAGGAGTCATTTCTGCAAAACAACAAAAAACCCCAACAACCTAAGGGAGTTACACAATTTAAAACAGCTATTAATTTATAAGTTATAATAATAGCTGGATTGGGGAGGGTGGCGAGGAGAGGGCTTTAAACAAAATGCTTCTTGTAGTCAGACCAACCACTTTGTACTGATCTCCTAATTCTCTCAGAAAACTGCATGGTTTTAGACAAGTTATAAAACAAAAAGAAAAGAAAGAAAAGAAAAGAATAAAGTAAAATAAAAATAAAACAAACCTAGAAGCAAAAGAAACACACGATCAAAAACTTAATTGCAACAAGAACACTTTAACCCAATTTCCAATCTAAGTCTAATGCCAAAGGCAAAAATTTTACTTCCTCTTAATAAAACCTAGGTTTTAGGCTCCAGGCTCCCTATCATTACACACTTACATGATTACTGGAATCTTAAAATATTCCAAATAAAACTACTCACTTAAGAACCGGTCACTTTTTATTGACCCTGGAAGAGTGCTTAATTAGAGACTATGGTACAAAATCTGACTGAAAACAAACCCTTGCTTGGGGCCACTGTGCGCACGCGCGCGCGCACCCACAGACACGGTCCACGTCTCAGGTAAAAGTAACAGGTGACCTCAGGAGCCTCCTTCCCTTAAAACCGTGACCTATGTGTTTCTACCCCTTCAGCACTCAGACCACTCGGCACCCCTGACAGCGCAGACACCGAGAGCCAACTGCAGCTGCCCCAAGGGGAGCGCGCACGGCCACCCTCACCTCAGCACCGGGCGCGGCGGGATGGCAAACCCCTGACCTCCTTCCGAGCGAACCTCTCCCGGCTCTCGGCCACTTTATCTCCTCCTGACACAAACTACCTCAGCCACCTCGGCGTGTCTCTTCTCCCCTGCGACCCCGGGACTCCTGCAGCCCAGATCTGGGACCTGAGAGCTCGAGGGCTTCTCTCCTCCCCCTCCAGCCCCGCAGACCAGAGCGAACCCACCAATGGAAACCAGGGAATGTGGGACTCAGTCGATACAAAGGGCCACTTCCCTGGAATCGAAACCACCCCCACCCCACCGGGGCCGGTCTTCCCAGCACCCCCATTCCCTGCCTCGGGCACCGCGTCCTCCTCTACTCCTGGCATCACCATCCTGCAGTGTCTCCATCCCGCACCCCAGTCGGGCCTCCCTCGGTCCATCTGCCGACCCCAGCTCGCCGTCGCGTACTCACCCCGCAGCGTCGCTGCCTTTCACGCTGTCCTGTCCTAGCTGAGGGGTACACGACATTTCCCCGCGGCGGCCTTTCTCCGGAGCCGGGGCGGGGCGGGGCGGGGCAGGGCGGAGCCTGCGGCCCCGCCAGGCTCGTCCCCAACGCTGGGCTCCACCGCGCTCCCAGCGGACGAGCAGCGGACCTGGTTTCGGAGAGCAAAGGTGAGGTGGCTGTGACCGGGGCGTGAAAACGACGCGTGGGGCTAGGAGGGCCGCGGGGGTACTGCCAGGAAGTGTCGCGAGAGGTGGAGGGAATCGCGCGAGATGTGGCTCCTCCCTGCAGGCAGGGAGCCGGAGCTCCGGGCGCCGGGTCGTAAGTGCGCGTGCCCTCCGCTCTGGGCCCGTGGGCGGTGTGAGGCCGGAGGTCATTAGAAGGCTGGGGTGCGGAAGACGACCTCGCAGCTGTAGGACTGCGTTTGCATCTCAGTGAAGGAAAGGAGGAAGGCCCAGCGCCCTCACTTAATACTTGGGAAAACAGGCCACCTGGCCCGCTGATACTCCGGCTACCCACCCTAGTAATGGGCCGGGGATGGTGCCGGAAGCCACGGACATGAGGGTGCCACGCCCCTGGTGAAAAATAGGACGGCCGGGCGCTAGCAGCAGCTGTGTCTACGCAGACCTCCACTTCTGGGTGCGGAGAACGGATACAGTCGGCACTTGCAAGGGAAAAAGGCTATCTCTGGGGCTTTGCCCCTTCACCCTTGCGTTTATTAGGCTTTAGGGGCTGCCAAAAAGATCTCTCTAAAAGAGGTAGAGGTGAGCTGGACGGGATTTAAAAGCTGCAAGGGAAGCTGGAGACGAGGTATTTTTGTCCACACGAGATGACAACTGAAGTGAAAAGTTTAAACCAATTTCCCACAGTCAGCTCTCCTGAGTATTTACTTTTCTGGAAGACCTCAATTCCTTTGGGGGAATAATTGAGTAATAAAATACTATTTTCGAACTAGATTATTGGGCAAGGGTTTAGGGAATGTTTTTCAGTTTTGTTATTTCTTCAGAAACCGAAAAAAAGGAAAACCGAAATAGGGAATTCTTATAACAATTCTCCTATAGGTCAACAGCCACACATATATATCGACAAGTTGGTATCTTCTCAAATTTATAACACCTAAATAACTTCCGTTCTCTATGGAAAGGATGAAGGAGGCCAGGGCTGTGCCCCATTCTCTAGATTTTGTCAGATGATTGACTAATACAAAATAATAATAGTAACTAGCATTTACTGAGCTCTTACTTTGTTGTAGGTATAGGTGTAAAGTAAGCATTTTACAAGTATAATCCCATTTAGTCCCCACAGCAACCTGATGAAGTAGGTACTATAGTTATCCCTATTTGCAGAGGTATAATGACTCATCCAAAGTCATACTACCAGCAAATAACAGAGCGAAAATTATAAGCAGTCTGTCTTCACAACCCTGTACTTAAATAACTTACCTAAAATCAGAGTCATTTAAGTGACAGAACTGGACCTTGCATTTTAGTTCTCCAAGTGGCAGAACTGGAGCTTGAATTTAGGTCCTCTATCCCTAAATCCTGTTATCCTCTATACCAGCTGTTGTCAACTATTTTTGTCTCAGAGCCCTAAAGAGTGATGTTTATGTAGCTTGTATCTATCACTATTTACTATACTAGAAATTGAAACAAATTTAAAAATTTTTTAAATATATATTTTAATACATTTTTATTGATTTCAGACGGGAGGAGAGATAGAAACATCAGTGACGAGAGAGTAGTCATTGATCAGCTGCCTCCTGCATGCCCTGCTACTGGGGATCAAGCCTGACACCAAGGCATGTGCCCTGACCGGTAATTGAACATCCATCTCTTGGATCCTAGGTCGATGCTCAACCGCTGAGCCACGCCTGGCCAGGCAAAATTTATTAACTTTTAAATAACAGTAAAAACCCATTTTGTGTAAATATTTTTATAGGAAAATAACTATTTTCCAAAATAATTTAAAAATCAGAGAAAAGAATGACATTGCTTCACATTTTTGTAAATTTCTTTAATTTCTGGTTTAATAGAAAACCATTGGATTCTTGTATTTGCTTCTGCATTTAATCTGTTACAATTTTAGTTTTGAAGTATATGAAGACAATCCAGCCTCATTCAACTATGTAGTTGGAGGAGTATTTTCATAGCCTTTTTAGGTAATTGTGGATATTCTTTTTAATACTACACTAAAACTCAACAAATGGTAGCTTAAAAAATTAGTTGCAATGTGGAATCTGAAAATATATCAATGAATTTTTTGTACTCCGATACATTAAAATTCATTGGTATACCTGGCACTTTGAATCGGTCTTTTACCTATAAATTATTTATGACATCATGTGTTGGTCTTTTGAAAAATATCAGTTCACTTGAGCTATGCAGTCTTCCAAATGTTAACACATTTTATTATACATTTTTTAAACTTGCCACCAATCTCAGAAAAGTCTTTTAAGTATTGGGAAGCTGTCAAGCTCATAGCACAGCAAAGTTTTCCAAAATTCTATTTTCTTGAAAAGGTCAGATTTTATCATTGCCAACAAATACTGTCAGTTGTTTTCCTTGAAGTGACAAGCTCACTTTGTTTTTGTGGAGATTCATAAGAGCCACCCCAAGATGGGCCTCAGTGGTATGTGGTTTATTTTGAGCTAAAGGCAACTGAGACCCTGTGAGCTCAGAGAGAAACTTCTGCCTCGCCCCTTAACTATCCGGAGGACTTTGAATGAGGAGCCTTGCCCATAATAGATTATCAGAGATAACCTTTTTGGACCTACTTATATGGCAGGGCAAACTATTAATCACTGATCATGTGCTCTCCCTGAAATGACCTGTGAAGCTCCAATGTGCCATACTTCATCCCTAGCTCAGAATGTTTTATATACCCATTTTCCCTTTCTGTCTAAACTTTTCTTGTATGTGGGGTTCTTGTGCACACAAAATTAAATTGTATTTTCTCTTGTCAGTCTGTCTCTTGTTGATTTGATTATTCAGCCAGACAAAAGAACCAGAGGAAGGAAAGGGGAATTTTTCCCTTCTCGTACTTCCAGGATAAGTTCTGCCAAATACCTAACTCTGAATTGCCATACTTTGTTAGTTGTACTTTCAAATAAAAACATTCCATGAAAAAAAGTAGCTGGTTCAGTTACCAATTCAAATAATCAGTCAAGTGCTTTTTTCTCAAGAGACCAGCATACTTCAGCATGTGGAAATGTTTTACTCATACTATTTGGTCATATAGAATATGAAAATGTGAACTCAAGGATTAAGAATTAATAAAATTAGTTTTTGCTGCTTCATGAAGAGTATTATTCTTAAGTGAAACTGGTACTATTTTTATGAATGCACAGCAGTGGACAATGACTAATAGTACAATTTATTATTATTACTAGTTTGCCCTGCCATATAAGTAGGTCCACTGCCTTAATTCCTGCTAAGGCATCAGCAGTTTTACCCTCCATTGCTTTTGCATCAACGGGG